CCTCTTTCTATCACCCGCCCCGTTCTCCCGCTTTCCATCACCCCGCCCCGTTCTCCCGCTTTCCATCACCCCGCCCCATTCTCCCTCTTTCCATCACCCGCCCCATTCTCCCGCTTTCCATCACCCCGCCCCATTCTCCCGCTTTCCATCACCCCGCCCCATTCTCCGGTTTCCATCACCCCGCCCATTCTCCCGCTTTCTATCAACGGGCCCCATTCTCCCGCTTTCCATCAACTGCCCCATTCTCCCTCTTTCCATCACCCCGCCCCATTCTGCCGCTTTCCATCACCCCGCCCCATACTCCCGCTTTCCATGACCCCGCCCCATTCTCCCGCTTTCCATCACCCGCCCCATTCTCCCGCTTTCCATCACCCGCCCCATTCTCCCGCTTTCCATCACCCCGTCCCATTCATTCCCCTTTCCATCACCCCGCCCCATTCTCCCGCTTTCCATCACCCCGCCCCATTCTCCCGCTTTCCATCACCCCGCTCCATTCTCCCGCTTTCCATCACCCGCCCCATTCTCCCGCTTTCCATCACCACGCCCCATTCTCCCGCTTTCCATCACCTTGCCCCATTCTCCCGCTTTCCATCACCCGCCCCATTCTCCCACCACCCCGCCCCATTCTCCCGCTTTCCACCACCCCGCCCCATTCTCCCGCTTTCCATCACCCGCCCCATTCTTCCGCTTTCCATCACCCCGCCCCATTCTCCCGCTTTCCATCACCCCGCTTGATTCTCCCGCTTCCATCACCCGCCCCATTCTCCAATCACCCCGCCCCATTCTCCCGCTTTCCATCACCCGCCCCATTCTTCCATCACCCCGCCCCATTCTCCCGCTTTCCATGACCCCGCCCCATTCTCCCGCTTTCCATCACCCGCCCCATTCTCCCGCTTTCCATCACCCCGCCCCATTCTCCCGCTTTCCATCACCCCGCCCCATTCTCCCGCTTTCCATCACCCCGCCCCATTCTCCCGCTTCATCACCCCGCTTGCCCCATTCTCCCGCTTTCCATCACCCGCCCCATTCTCCCATCACCCCGCCCCATTCTCCCGCTTTCCATCACCCGCCCCCGTTCTCCCGCTTTCCATCAACCCGCCCCATTCTCCCTCTTTCCATCACCCCGCCCCATTCACCCTGTTTCCATCACCCCGCCCCATTCTCCCGCTTTCCATCACCCCGCCCCATTCTCCCGGTTTCATCACTCCGCCCCATTCTCCCGCTTTCCATCACCCGGCCCCATTCTCCCGCTTTCCATCACCCGCCCCATTCTCCCGCTTTCCATCACCCTGCCCCATTCTCCCTCTTTCCATCACCCCGCCCCATTCTTCCGCTTTCCATCACCCCGCCCCATACTCCCGCTTTCCATCACCCAGCCCCATTCTCCCGCTTTCTATCACCCCGCCCCATTCTCCCGCTTTCCATCAACCCGCCCCATTCTCCCGCTTTCCATCACCCCGCCCCATTCTCCCGCTTTCCATCACCCGCCCCATTCTCCCGCTTTCCATCACCCCGTCCCATTCTCCCTTTCCATCACCCCGCCCCATTCTCCCGCTTTCCATCACCCCACCCCATTCTCCCGCTTTCCATCACCCCGCCCCATTCTCCCGCTTTCCATCACCCGCCCCATTCTCCCGCTTTCCATCACCCCGCCCCATTCTCCCGCTTTCCATCACCCCGCCCCATTCTCCCGCTTTCCATCACCCACCCCATTCTCCCACCACCCCGCCCCATTCTCCCGCTTTCCATCACCCCGCCCCATTCTCCCGCTTTCCATCACCCGCCCCATTCTCCCGCTTTCCATCACCCCGCCCCATTCTCTCCGCTTTCCATCAGCCCGCCCCATTCTCCCGCTTTCCATCACCCCGCTCCATTCTCCCGCTTTCCATCACCCGCCCCATTCTCCCTCTTTCCATCACCCCGCCCCATTCTCCCGCTTTCCATCACCCCGCCCCATTCTCCCGCTTTCCATCACCCCCCCCCCATTCTCCCGCTTTCCATCACCCCGCCCCATTCTCCCGCTTTCCATCACCCCGCCCCATTCTCCCGCTTTCCATCACCCCGCCCCATTCTCCCGCTTTCCATCACCCCGCCCCATTCTCCCGCTTTCCATCACCCCGCCCCATTCTCCCGCTTTCCAGCACCCCGCCCCATTCTCCCTTTCCATCACCCCGCCCCATTCTCCCGCTTTCCATCACCCCGCCCCATTCTCCCTCTTTCCATCACCCCGCCCCATTCTCCCGCTTTCCATCACCCCGCCCCATTCTCCCGCTTTCCATCACCCCGCCCCATTCTCCCGCTTTCCATCACCCCGCCCCCTTCTCCCGCTTTCCATCACCTTGCCCCATTCTCCCGCTTTCCATCACCCGCCCCATTCTCCCATCACCCCACCCCATTCTCCCGCTTTCCATCACCCCGCCCCATTCTCCCTTTCCATCACCCCGCCCCATTCTCCCGCTTTCCATCACCCCGCCCCATTCTCCCGCTTTCCATCACCCCGCCCCATTCTCCCACTTTCCATCACCCTGCCCCATTCTCCCGCTTTCCATCACCCCGCCCCATACTCCCGCTTTCCATGACCCCGCCCCATTCTCCCGCTTTCCATCACCCTGCCCCATTCTCCCGCTTTCCATCACCCGCCCCATTCTCCCGCTTTCCATCACCCCGCCCCATTCTCCCGCTTTCCATCACCCCGCCCCATTCTCCCGCTTTCCAGCACCCCGCCCCATTCTCCCTTTCCATCACCCCGCCCCATTCTCCCGCTTTCCATCACCCCGCCCCATTCTCCCTCTTTCCATCACCCCGCCCCATTCTCCCGCTTTCCATCACCCCGCCCCATTCTCCCGCTTTCCATCACCCCGCCCCATTCTCCCGCTTTCCATCACCCCGCCCCATTCTCCCGCTTTCCATCACCTTGCCCCATTCTCCCGCTTTCCATCACCCGCCCCATTCTCCCATCACCCCACCCCATTCTCCCGCTTTCCATCACCCCGCCCCATTCTCCCTTTCCATCACCCCGCCCCATTCTCCCGCTTTCCATCACCCCGCCCCATTCTCCCGCTTTCCATCACCCCGCCCCATTCTCCCTCTTTCCATCACCCTGCCCCATTCTCCCGCTTTCCATCACCCCGCCCCATACTCCCGCTTTCCATCACCCCGCCCCATTCTCCCGCTTTCCATCACCCTGCCCCATTCTCCCGCTTTCCATCACCCGCCCCATTCTCCCGCTTTCCATCACCCGCCCCATTCTCCCGCTTTCCATCACCCCGCCCCATTCTCCCTCTTTCCATCACCCCGCCCCATTCTCCCGCTTTCCATCACCCCGCCCCATTCTCCCGCTTTCCATCACCCCGCCCCATTCTCCCGCTTTCCATCACCCGCCCCATTCTCCCGCTTTCCATCACCCGCCCCATTCTCCCGCTTTCCATCACCCCGCCCCATTCTCCCGCTTTCCATCACCCCGCCCCATTCTCCCGCTTTCCATCACCCCGCCCCATTCTCCCTTTCCATCACCCCGCCCCATTCTCCCGCTTTCCATCACCCCGCCCCATTCTCCCGATTTCCATCACCCCGCCCCATTCTCCCGCTTTCCATCACCCCGACCCATTCTCCCGCTTTCCATCACCCCGCCCCATTCTCCCGCTTTCCATCACCCCGCCCCATTCTCCCGCTTTCCATCACCCCGCCCCATACTCCCGCTTTCCATCACCCCGCCCCATTCTCCCGCTTTCCATCACCCGCCCCATTCTCCCGTCACCCCGCCCCATTCTCCCGCTTTCCATCACCACGCCCCATTCTCCCGCTTTCCATCACCCCGCCCCATTCTCCCGCTTTCCATCACCCCGCCCCATTCTCCCGCTTTCCATCACCCCGCCCCATTCTCCCGCTTTCCATCACGCGCCCCATTCTCCCGCTTTCCATCACCTCGCCCCATTCTCCCGCTTTCCATCACCCCGCCCCATTCTCCCGCTTTCCATCACCCCGCCCCATTCTCCCGCTTTCCATCACCCCGCCCCATTCTCCCGCTTTCCATCACCTTGCCCCATTCTCCCGCTTTCCATCACCCGCCGCACTCTCCCGCTTTCCATCACCCCGCCCCATTCTCCCGCTTTCCATCACCCCGCCCCATTCTCCCGCTTTCCATCACCCCGCCCCATTCTCCCTTTCCATCACCCCGCCCCATTCTCCCGCTTTCCATCACCCCGCCCCATTCTCCCAATTTCCATCACCCCGCCCCATTCTCCCGCTTTCCATCACCCCGACCCATTCTCCCGCTTTCCATCACCCCGCCCCATTCTCCCGCTTTCCATCACCCCGCCCCATTCTCCCGCTTTCATCACCCCGCCCCATACTCCTGATTTCCATCACCCCGCCCCATACTCCCGCTTTCCATCACCCCGCCCCATTCTCCCGCTTTCCATCACCCGCCCCATTCTCCCATCACCCCGCCCCATTCTCCCACTTTCCATCACCCCGCCCCATTCTCCCGCTTTCCATCACCCCGCCCCATTCTCCCGCTCTCCATCACCCCGCCCCATTCTCCCGCTTTCCATCACCCCGCCCCATTCTCCCGCTTTCCATCACCCCGCCCCATTCTCCCGCTTTCCATCACCCCGCACCATTCTCCCGCTTTCCATCCCCGCCCCATTCTCCCGCTTTCCATCACCCCGCCCCATTCTCCCGCTTTCCATCACCCCGCCCCATTCTCCCACTTTCCATCACCCCGCCCCATTCTCCCGCTCTCCATCACCCCGCCCCATTCTCCCGCTTTCCATCACCCCGCCCCATTCTCCCGCTTTCCATCACCCGCCCCATTCTCCCGCTTTCCATCACCCCGCCCCATTCTCCCGCTTTCCATCACCCCGCCCCATTCTCCCGCTTTCCATCACCCCGGCCCATTCTCCCGCTTTCCATCACCCCGCCCCATTCTCCCGCTTTCCATCACCCGCCCCATTCTCCCGCTTTCCATCACCCCGCCCCATTCTCCCGCTCTCCATCACCCCGCCCCATTCTCCCGCTTTCCATCACCCCGCCCCATTCTCCCGCTTTCCATCACCCCGCCCCATTCTCCCGCTTTCCATCACCCGCACCATTCTCCCGCTTTCCATCACCCCGCCCCATTCTCCCGCTTTCCATCACCCCGCCCCATTCTCCCGCTTTCCATCACCCCGCCCCATTCTCCCACTTTCCATCACCCCGCCCCATTCTCCCGCTCTCCATCACCCCGCCCCATTCTCCCGCTTTCCATCACCCCGCCCCATTCTCCCGCTTTCCATCACCCCGCCCCATTCTCCCGCTTTCCATCACCCCGCCCCATTCTCCCGCTTTCCATCACCCCGCCCCATTCTCCCGCTTTCCATCACCCCGCCCCATTCTCCCGCTTTCCATCACCCCGCCCCATTCTCCCGCTTTCCATCACCCCGCCCCATTCTCCCGCTTTCCATCACCCCGCCCCATACTCCCGCTTTCCATCACCCCACCCCATTCTCCCGCTTTCCATCACCCCGCCCCATTCTCCCTCTTTCCATCACCCCTCCCCATTCTCCCGCTTTCCATCACCCCGCCCCATTCTCCCGCTTTCCATCACCCCGCCCCATTCTCCCGCTTTCCATCACCCCGCCCTATTCTCCCGCTTTCCATCACCCCACCCCATTCTCCCGCTTTCCATCACCCCGCCCCATTCTCCTGCTTTCCATCACCCGCCCCATTCTACCGCTTTCCATCACCCCGCCCCGCTTTCCATCACCCCGCCCCATTCTCCCGCTTTCCATCACCCTGCCCCATTCTCCCGCTTTCCATCACCCCGCCCCATTCTCCTGCTTTCCATCACCCCGCCCCATTCTCCCGCTTTCCATCACCCCACCCCATTCTCCCGCTTTCCATCACCCCGCCCCATTCTCCCTCTTTCCATCACCCCGCCTGTTTCTCCCTCTTTCCATCACCCTGCCCCATTCTCCCGCTTTCCATCACCCGCCCCATTCTCCCGCTTTCCATCACCCCGCCCCATTCTCCTGCTTTCCATCACCCCGCCCCATTCTCCCGCTTTCCACCACCCCGCCCCATTCTCCCGCTTTCCATCACCCCGCCCCATTCTCCCGCTTTCCATCACCCCGCCCCATTCTCCCGCTTTCCATCACCCCGCCCCATTCTCCCGCTTTCCATCACCCCGCCCCATTCTCCCGCTTTCTATCACCCCGCCCCATTCTCCCGCTTTTCATCACCCCGCCCCATTCTCCCGCTTTCCATCACCCCGCCCTATTTTCCCGCTGTCCATAACCCCGCCCCATTCTCCTGCTTTCCATCACCCCGCCCCATTCTCCCGCTTTCCATCACCCCGCCCCATTCTCCCGCTTTCCATCACCCCGCCCCATTCTCCCTCTTTCCATCACCCCGCCCCATTCTGCCTCCTTCCATCACCCCGCCCCATTCTCCTGTTTTCCATCACCTCGCCACATTCTCCCGCTTTCCATCACCCCGCCCCATTCTCCCTCTTTCCATCACCCCACCCCATTCTCCCGCTTTCCATCAACCCGCCCCATTCTCCCGCTTTCCATCACCCGCCCCATTCTCCCTCTTTCCATCACCCCGCCCCATTCTCCCGCTTTCCATCACCCCTCCCCATTCTCCCTCTTTCCATCACCCCGCCCCATTCTCCTTGTTTCCAACGCCCCGCCCCATTCTCCCGCTTTCCATCACCCCACTCCATTCTCCCGCTTTCCATCACCCCGCCCCATTCTCCCACTTTCCATCACCCCGCCCCATTCTCCCTCTTTCCATCACCCCGCCCCATTCTCCCGCTTTCCATCACCCCGCCCCATTCTCCCGATTTCCATCACCCCGCCCCATTCAACCGCTTTCCATCACCCCGCCCCATTCTCCCGTTTTCCATCACCCCGCCCCATTCTCCCGCTTTCCATCACCCCGCCACATTCTCCCGCTTTCCATCACCCCGCCCCATTCTCCCGCTTTCCATCACCCCGCCCCATTCTCCCGCTTTCCATCACCCCGCCCCATTCTCCCGCTTTCCACCACCCCGCCCCATTCTCCCTCTTTCCATCACCCCGCCCCATTCTGGTCCACGTGTTTGTTGGACCAACAAGCCAGTTGGTCCACGTGTTTGTTGGACCAACAAGCCAGTTGCTCCACGTGTTTGTTGGACCAACAAGCCAGTTGCTCCACGTGTTTGTTGGACCAACAAGCCAGTTGCTCCACGTGTTTGTTGGACCAACAAGCCAGTTGCTCGACGCGTTTGTTGGACCAACAAGCAAGTTGCTCGACGCGTTTGTTGGACCAACAAGCCAGTTGGTCGACGCGTTTGTTGGACCAACAAGCCAGTTGGTCGACGCGTTTGTTGGACCAACAAGCCAGTTGGTCGACGCGTTTGTTGGACCAACAAGCCAGTTGGTCGACGCGTTCGTTTGTTGGACCAACAAGCCAGTTGGTCGACGCGTTGGATGGACCAACAAGCCAGGTGCTCGACGCGTTCGTTTGACCAACAAGCCAGTCGACGCGTTTGATGGACCAACAAGCCAGGTGGTCGACGCGTTCGTTTGACCAACAAGCCAGTCGACGCGTTTGATGGACCAACAAGCCAGGTGGTCGACGCGTTTGATGGACCAACAAGCCAGGTGCTCGACGCGTTTGATGGACCAAAAAGCCAGGTGCTCGACGCGTTTGATGGACCAACAAGCCAGGTGCTCGACGCGTTTGATGGACCAACTAGCCAGGTGCTCGACGCGTTTGATGGACCAACAAGCCACGTGGTCCACGCGTTTGATGGACCAACAAGCCAGTTGCTCCGCGCGTTTGTTGGACCAACAAGCCAGTTGCTCCACGCGTTTGTTGGACCAACAAGCCAGTTGCTCCACGCGTTTGTTGGACCAACAAGCCACGTGCTCTACGCGTTTGTTGGACCAACAAGCCAGTTGGTCCACGTGTTGTTGGACCAACAAGCCAGTTGGTCCACGTGTTTGTTGGACCAACAAGCCAGTTGGTCCACGTGTTTGTTGGACCAACAAGCCAGTTGGTCCACGTGTTTGATGGACCAACAAGCCAGCTGGTCCACGTGTTTGATGGACCAACAAGCCAGTTGGTCCGCGTGTTTGATGGACCAACAAGCCAGCTGGTCCGCGTGTTTGAAAGACCAACAAGCCAGTTGGTCCGCGTGTTTGATGGACCAACAAGCCAGTTGGTCCACGTGTTTCTTGGACCAACAAGCCAGTTGCTCGACGCGTTTGATGGACCAACAAGCCACGGGGTCGACGCGTTTGATGGACCAACAAGCCACGTGGTCGACGCGTTTGATGGACCAACAAGCCACGTGGTCGACGCGTTTGATGGACCAACAAGCCACGTGGTCGACGCGTTTGTTGGACCAACAAGCCAGTTGGTCGACGCGTTTGTTGGACCAACAAGCCAGTTGGTCGACGCGTTCGTTTGACCAACAAGCCAGTTGGTCAACGCGTTGGATGGACCAACAAGCCAGGTGCTCGACGCGTTCGTTTGACCAACAAGCCAGTCGACGCGTTTGATGGACCAACAAGCCAGGTGCTCGACGCGTTCGTTTGACCAACAAGCCAGTCGACGCGTTTGATGGACCAACAAGCCAGGTGGTCGACGCGTTTGATGGACCAACAAGCCAGGTGGTCGACGCGTTTGATGGACCAACAAGCCAGGTGGTCGACGCGTTTGATGGACCAACAAGCCAGGTGCTCGACGCGTTTGATGGACCAACTAGCCAGGTGCTCGACGCGTTTGATGGACCAACAAGCCACGTGGTCCACGCGTTTGTTGGACCAACAAGCCAGTTGCTCCACGCGTTTGTTGGACCAACAAGCCAGTTGCTCCACGCGTTTGTTGGACCAACAAGCCAGTTGCTCCACGCGTTTGTTGGACCAACAAGCCACGTGCTCTACGCGTTTGTTGGACCAACAAGCCAGTTGGTCCACGTGTTTGTTGGACCAACAAGCCAGTTGGTCCACGTGTTTGTTGGACCAACAAGCCAGTTGGTCCACGTGTTTGTTGGACCAACAAGCCAGCTGGTCCACGTGTTTGATGGACCAACAAGCCAGCTGGTCCACGTGTTTGATGGACCAACAAGCCAGTTGGTCCGCGTGTTTGATGGACCAACAAGCCAGCTGGTCCGCGTGTTTGATGGACCAACAAGCCAGTTGGTCCCCGTGTTTCTTGGACCAACAAGCCAGTTGGTCCACGTGTTTCTTGGACCAACAAGCCAGTTGCTCGACGCGTTTGTTGGACCAACAAGCCAGTTGCTCGACGCGTTTGTTGGACCAACAAGCCAGTTGGTCGACGCGTTTGATGGACCAACAAGCCACGGGGTCGACGTGTTTGATGGACCAACAAGCCAGGTGGTCGACGTGTTTGATGGACCAACAAGCCAGGTGGTCGACGTGTTTGATGGACCAACAAGCCAGGTGGTCGACGTGTTTGATGGACCAACAAGCCAGGTGGTCGACGTGTTTGATGGACCAACAAGCCAGGTGGTCGACGTGTTTGATGGACCAACAAGCCAGGTGGTCGACGTGTTTGATGGACCAACAAGCCAGGTGGTCGACGTGTTTGATGGACCAACAAGCCAGGTGGTCGACGTGTTTGATGGACCAACAAGCCAGCTGGTCCACGTGTTTGATGGACCAACAAGCCAGGTGGTCGACGTGTTTGATGGACCAACAAGCCAGGTGGTCGACGTGTTTGATGGACCAACAAGCCAGGTTGTCGACGCGTTTGTTGGACCAACAAGCCAGGTTGTCGACGCGTTTGTTGGACCAACAAGCCAGTTGGTCGACGCGTTTGTTAGACCAACAAGCCAGGTTGTCGACGCGTTTGTTGGACCAACAAGCCAGTTGGTCCACGTGTTTGTTGGACCAACAAGCCAGTTGGTCCACGTGTTTGATGGACCAACAAGCCAGTTGGTCCACGTGTTTGATGGACCAACAAGCCAGTTGGTCGACGTGTTTGATGGACCAACAAGCCAGTTGGTCCGCGTGTTTGATGGACCAACAAGCCAGTTGGTCCGCGTGTTTGATGGACCAACAAGCCAGGTGGTCCGCGTGTGTGATGGACCAACAAGACAGTTGGTCCGCGTGTTTGTTGGACCAACAAGCCAGTTGGTCTGCGTGTGTGATGGACCAACGAGCCAGTTGGTCCGCGTGTTTGTTGGACCAACAAGCCAGTTGGTCCGCGTGTTTGATGGACCAACAAGCCAGTTGGTCCGCGTGTTTGATGGACCAACAAGCCAGTTGGTCCGCGTGTTTGATGGACCAACGAGCCAGTTGGTCGACGTGTTTGATGGACCAACGAGCCAGGTGGTCGACGTGTTTGATGGACCAACGAGCCAGTTGGTCGACGTGTTTGATGGACCAACAAGCCAGCTGGTCCACGTGTTTGATGGACCAACAAGCCAGCTGGTCCACGTGTTTGATGGACCAACAAGCCAGCTGGTCCACGTGTTCGTTGGACCAACAAGCCAGTTGGACCAACTGGCTAGTTGGTCCACGCGCTCGATGGACCAACGAGCCAGTTGGTCGACGTGTTTGATGGACCAACAAGCCAGTTGGTCCGCGTGTTTGACGTGTTTGTTGGACCAACAAGCCAGTTGGTCGACGTGTTTGTTGGACCAACAAGCCAGTTGGTCCACGTGTTTGTTGGACCAACGAGCCAGTTGGTCCACGTGTTTGTTGGACCAACAAGCCAGTTGGTCCACGTGTTTGATGGACCAACAAGCCAGTTGGTCCACGTGTTTGATGGACCAACAAGCCAGCTGGTCCACGTGTTTGATGGACCAACAAGCCAGCTGGTCCACGTGTTTGTTGGACCAACAAGCCAGCTGGTCCACGTGTTTGTTGGACCAACAAGCCAGCTGGTCCACGTGTTTGTTGGACCAACAAGCCAGCTGGTCCACGTGTTTGATGGACCAACAAGCCAGCTGGTCCACGTGTTTGATGGACCAACAAGCCAGCTGGTCCACGTGTTTGATGGACCAACAAGCCAGCTGGTCCACGTGTTTGATGGACCAACAAGCCAGCTGGTCCACGTGTTTGATGGACCAACAAGCCAGCTGGTCCACGTGTTCGTTGGACCAACAAGCCAGTTGGACCAACTGGCTAGTTGGTCCACGCGCTCGATGGACCAACAAGCCAGTTGGTCCACGCGCTCGATGGACCAACAAGCCAGTTGGTCCACGCGCTCGATGGACCAACAAGCCAGTTGGTCCACGCGCTCGATGGACCAACAAGCCAGTTGGTCCACGCGCTCGATGGACCAACAAGCCAGTTGGTCCACGCGCTCGTTGGACCAACAAGCCAGTTGGTCCACGCGCTCGTTGGACCAACAAGCCAGTTGGTCCACGCGCTCGTTGGACCAACAAGCCAGTTGGTCCACGCGCTCGTTGGACCAACCAGCCAGTTGGTCCACGTGCTCGATGGACCAACAACCCAGTTGGTCCACGCGCTCGTTGGACCAACAACCCAGTTGGTCCACGCGCTCGTTGGACCAACAAGCCAGTTGGTCCACGCGCTCGATGGACCAACAAGCCAGTTGGTCCACGCGCTCGATGGACCAACAAGCCAGTTGGTCCACGCGCTCGATGGACCAACAAGCCAGTTGGTCCACGCGCTCGATGGACCAACAATTCAGTTGGTCCACGCGCTCGATGGACCAACAAGCCAGTTGGTCCACGCGCTCGATGGACCAACAAGCCAGTTGGTCCACGCGCTCGATGGACCAACAAGCCAGTTGGTCCACGCGCTCGATGGACCAACAAGCCAGTTGGTCCACGCGCTCGATGGACCAACAAGCCAGTTGGTCCACGCGTTCGATGGACCAACAAGCCAGTTGGTCCACGCGTTCGATGGACCAACAAGCCAGTTGGTCCACGCGTTCGATGGACCAACAAGCCAGTTGGTCCACGCGTTCGATGGACCAACAAGCCAGTTGGTCCACGCGTTCGATGGACCACAACCCAGTTGGTCCACGCGTTCGATGGACCAACAAGCCAGTTGGTCCACGCGTTCGATGGACCAACAAGCCAGTTGGTCCACGCGTTCGATGGACCAACAACCAACAAGCCAGTTGGTCCACGCGTTCAATGGACCAACAACCAACAAGCCAGTTGGTCCACGCGTTCGATGGACCAACAAGCCAGCTGGTCCACGTGTTCGATGGACCAACAAGCCAGCTGGTCCACGCGTTCGATGGACCAACAAGCCAGTTGGTCCACGCGTTCGATGGACCAACAACCAACAAGCCAGTTGGTCCACGCGTTCAATGGACCAACAACCAACAAGCCAGTTGGTCCACGCGTTCGATGGACCAACAAGCCAGCTGGTCCACGTGTTCGATGGACCAACAAGCCAGCTGGTCCACGTGTTCGATGGACCAACAAGCCAGCTGGTCCACGTGTTCGATGGACCAACAAGCCAGCTGGTCCACGTGTTCGATGGACCAACAAGCCAGTTGGTCCACGTGTTTGTTGGACCAACAAGCCAGCTGGTCCACGTGTTCGATGGACCAACAAGCCAGCTGGTCCACGTGTTTGTTGGACCAACAAGCCAGCTGGTCCACGTGTTCGATGGACCAACAAGCCAGCTGGTCCACGTGTTCGATGGACCAACAAGCCAGCTGGTCCACGTGTTCGATGGACCAACAAGCCAGCTGGTCCACGTGTTCGATGGACCAACAAGCCAGTTGGTCCACGTGTTTGATGGACCAACAAGCCAGTTGGTCCACGTGTTCGATGGACCAACAAGCCAGTTGGTCCACGTGTTCGATGGACCAACAAGCCAGTTGGTCCACGTGTTCGATGGACCAACAAGCCAGTTGGTCCACGTGTTCGATGGACCAACAAGCCAGTTGGTCCACGTGTTTGATGGACCAACAAGCCAGTTGGTCCGCGTGTTTGATGGACCAACAAGCCAGTTGGTCCGCGTGTTTGATGGACCAACAAGCCAGTTGGTCCCTGTGTTTGATGGACCAACAAGCCAGTTGGTCCGCGTGTTTGATGGACCAACAAGCCAGTTGGTCCACGTGTTTGATGGACCAACAAGCCAGTTGGTCCGCGTGTTTGATGGACCAACAAGCCAGTTGGTCCGCGTGTTTGATGGACCAACAAGCCAGTTGGTCGACGTGTTTGATGGACCAACGAGCCAGGTGGTCGACGTGTTTGATGGACCAACGAGCCAGTTGGTCGACGTGTTTGATGGACCAACGAGCCAGTTGGTCCACGTGTTTGATGGACCAACGAGCCAGTTGGTCGACGTGTTTGTTGGACCAACAAGCCAGTTGGTCCACGTGTTTGATGGACCAACGAGCCAGTTGGTCGACGTGTTTGATGGACCAACAAGCCAGTTGGTCCGCGTGTTTGACGTGTTTGTTGGACCAACAAGCCAGTTGGTCGACGTGTTTGTTGGACCAACAAGCCAGTTGGTCCACGTGTTTGTTGGACCAACAAGCCAGTTGGTCCACGTGTTTGTTGGACCAACAAGCCAGTTGGTCCACGTGTTTGATGGACCAACAAGCCAGTTGGTCCACGTGTTTGATGGACCAACAAGCCAGCTGGTCCACGTGTTTGATGGACCAACAAGCCAGCTGGTCCACGTGTTTGTTGGACCAACAAGCCAGCTGGTCCACGTGTTTGTTGGACCAACAAGCCAGCTGGTCCACGTGTTTGTTGGACCAACAAGCCAGCTGGTCCACGTGTTTGATGGACCAACAAGCCAGCTGGTCCACGTGTTTGATGGACCAACAAGCCAGCTGGTCCACGTGTTTGATGGACCAACAAGCCAGCTGGTCCACGTGTTTGATGGACCAACAAGCCAGCTGGTCCACGTGTTTGATGGACCAACAAGCCAGCTGGTCCACGTGTTTGTTGGACCAACAAGCCAGTTGGACCAACTGGCTAGTTGGTCCACGCGCTCGATGGACCAACAAGCCAGTTGGTCCACGCGCTCGATGGACCAACAAGCCAGTTGGTCCACGCGCTCGATGGACCAACAAGCCAGTTGGTCCACGCGCTCGATGGACCAACAAGCCAGTTGGTCCACGCGCTCGATGGACCAACAAGCCAGTTGGTCCACGCGCTCGTTGGACCAACAAGCCAGTTGGTCCACGCGCTCGTTGGACCAACAACCCAGTTGGTCCACGCGCTCGTTGGACCAACAAGCCAGTTGCTCCACGCGCTCGTTGGACCAACAAGCCAGTTGGTCCACGCGCTCGATGGACCAACAAGCCAGTTGGTCCACGCGCTCGTTGGACCAACAACCCAGTTGGTCCACGCGCTCGTTGGACCAACAAGCCAGTTGGTCCACGCGCTCGATGGACCAACAAGCCAGTTGGTCCACGCGCTCGATGGACCAACAAGCCAGTTGGTCCACGCGCTCGATGGACCAACAAGCCAGTTGGTCCACGCGCTCGATGGACCAACAATTCAGTTGGTCCACGCGCTCGATGGACCAACAAGCCAGTTGGTCCACGCGCTCGATGGACCAACAAGCCAGTTGGTCCACGCGCTCGATGGACCAACAAGCCAGTTGGTCCACGGGCTCGATGGACCAACAACCCAGTCGGTCCACGCGCTCGATGGACCAACAAGCCAGTTGGTCCACGCGTTCGATGGACCAACAAGCCAGTTGGTCCACGCGTTCGATGGACCAACAAGCCAGTTGGTCCACGCGTTCGATGGACCAACAAGCCAGTTGGTCCACGCGTTCGATGGACCAACAAGCCAGTTGGTCCACGCGTTCGATGGACCACAACCCAGTTGGTCCACGCGTTCGATGGACCAACAAGCCAGTTGGTCCACGCGTTCGATGGACCAACAAGCCAGTTGGTCCACGCGTTCGATGGACCAACAACCAACAAGCCAGTTGGTCCACGCGTTCAATGGACCAACAACCAACAAGCCAGTTGGTCCACGCGTTCGATGGACCAACAAGCCAGCTGGTCCACGTGTTCGATGGACCAACAAGCCAGCTGGTCCACGCGTTCGATGGACCAACAAGCCAGTTGGTCCACGCGTTCGATGGACCAACAACCAACAAGCCAGTTGGTCCACGCGTTCAATGGACCAACAACCAACAAGCCAGTTGGTCCACGCGTTCGATGGACCAACAAGCCAGCTGGTCCACGTGTTCGATGGACCAACAAGCCAGCTGGTCCACGTGTTCGATGGACCAACAAGCCAGCTGGTCCACGTGTTCGATGGACCAACAAGCCAGCTGGTCCACGTGTTCGATGGACCAACAAGCCAGTTGGTCCACGTGTTTGTTGGACCAACAAGCCAGCTGGTCCACGTGTTCGATGGACCAACAAGCCAGCTGGTCCACGTGTTTGTTGGACCAACAAGCCAGCTGGTCCACGTGTTCGATGGACCAACAAGCCAGCTGGTCCACGTGTTTGATGGACCAACAAGCCAGCTGGTCCACGTGTTCGATGGACCAACAAGCCAGCTGGTCCACGTGTTCGATGGACCAACAAGCCAGTTGGTCCACGTGTTCGATGGACCAACAAGCCAGTTGGTCCACGTGTTCGATGGACCAACAAGCCAGTTGGTCCACGTGTTCGATGGACCAACAAGCCAGTTGGTCAACGGGTTCGATGGACCAACAAGCCAGTTGGTCCACGTGTTCGATGGACCAACAAGCCAGTTGGTCCACGTGTTTGATGGACCAACAAGCCAGTTGGTCCGCGTGTTTGATGGACCAACAAGCCAGTTGGTCCGCGTGTTTGATGGACCAACAAGCCAGTTGGTCCGCGTGTTTGTTGGACCAACAAGCCAGTTGGTCGACGTGTTTGATGGACCAACAAGCCAGTTGGTCGACGTGTTTGATGGACCAACAAGCCAGTTGGTCGACGTGTTTGATGGACCAACAAGCCAGTTGGTCGACGTGTTTGATGGACCAACAAGCCAGTTGGTCCACGTGTTTGATGGACCAACAAGCCAGTTGGTCCACGTGTTTGATGGACCATCAAGCCAGTTGGTCGACGTGTTACCAACAAGCCAGTTGCTCCACGTGTTTGTTGGACCAACAAGCCAGTTGGTCCACGTGTTTGTTGGACCAACAAGCCAGTTGGTCCACGTGTTTGTTGGACCAACAAGCCAGTTGGTCCACGTGTTTGTTGGACCAACAAGCCAGTTGGTCCACGTGTTTGATGGACCAACAAGCCAGCTGGTCCACGTGTTTGATGGACCAACAAGCCAGTTGGTCCGCGTGTTTGATGGACCAACAAGCCAGCTGGTCCGCGTGTTTGATGGACCAACAAGCCAGTTGGTCCGCGTGTTTGATGGACCAACAAGCCAGTTGGTCCACGTGTTTGTTGGACCAACAAGCCAGCTGGTCCACGTGTTTGATGGACCAACAAGCCAGTTGGTCCACGTGTTTGATGGACCAACAAGCCAGCTGGTCCACGTGTTTGTTGGACCAACAAGCTAGTTGGTCCACGTGTTTGATGAAGGCTTGAAGGCTTGAAGGCTTGAAGGCTTGAAGGCTTGAAGGCTTGAAGGCTTGAGGGCTTGAAGGCTTGAGGGCTTGAAGGCTTGAAGGCTTGAGGGCTTGAGGGCTTGAAGGCTTGAGGGCTTGAGGGCTTGAAGGCTTGAAGGCTTGAAAGCTTGAAGGCTTGAAGGCTTGAAGGCTTGAAGGCTTGAGGGCTTGAGGGCTTGAAGGCTTGAAGGCTTGAAGGCTTGAGGGCTTGAAGGCTTGAAGGCTTGAAGGCTTGAGGGCTTGAGGGCTTGAGGGCTTGAGGGCTTGAAGGCTTGAAGGCTTGAAGGCTTGAGGGCTTGAGGGCTTGAAGGCTTGAAGGCTTGAAGGCTTGAAGGCTTGAAGGCTTGAGGGCTTGAGGGCTTGAGGGCTTGAGGGCTTGAAGGCTTGAGGGCTTGAGGGCTTGAGGGCTTGAAGGCTTGAAGGCTTGAGGGCTTGAGGGCTTGAGGGCTTGAGGGCTTGAAGGCTTGAGGGCTTGAAGGCTTGAAGGCTTGAAGGCTTGAAGGCTTGAGGGCTTGAGGGCTTGAGGGCTTGAGGGCTTGAGGGCTTGAAGGCTTGAAAGCTTGAAGGCTTGAAGGCTTGAAGGCTTGAAGGCTTGAAGGCTTGAAGGCTTGAAGGCTTGAAGGCTTGAGGGCTTGAGGGCTTGAAGGCTTGAGGGCTTGAAGGCTTGAAGGCTTGAAGGCTTGAAGGCTTGAGGGCTTGAAGGCTTGAAGGCTTGAAGGCTTGAGGGCTTGAGGGCTTGAAGGCTTGAGGGCTTGAAGGCTTGAAGGCTTGAAGGCTTGAAGGCTTGAAGGCTTGAGGGCTTGAGGGCTTGAAGGCTTGAAGGCTTGAAGGCTTGAAGGCTTGAAGGCTTGAAGGCTTGAAGGCTTGAAGGCTTGAAGGCTTGAGGGCTTGAAGGCTTGAAGGCTTGAAGGCTTGAGGGCTTGAAGGCTTGAAGGCTTGAAGGCTTGAAGGCTTGAAGACCCTCTTGAAGGCTTGAAGGCTTGAAGGCTTGAGGGCTTGAAGGCTTGAAGGATTGAAGGCTTGAAGGCTTGAAGGCTTGAAGGCTTGAGGGCTTGAGGGCATGAGGGATTGAGGGCTTGAAGGCTTGAAGGCTTGAAGGCTTGAGGGCTTGAGGGCTTGAAGGCTTGAGGGCTTGAAGGCTTGAAGGCTTGAAGGCTTGAAGGCTTGAAGGCTTGAGGGCTTGAGGGCTTGAAGGCTTGAAGGCTTGAAGGCTTGAAGGCTTGAAGGCTTGAAGGCTTGAAGGCTTGAAGGCTTGAAGGCTTGAGGGCTTGAAGGCTTGAAGGCTTGAAGGCTTGAGGGCTTGAAGGCTTGAAGGCTTGAAGGCTTGAAGGCTTGAAGGCTTGAAGGCTTGAAGGCTTGAAGGCTTGAGGGCTTGAGGGCTTGAAGGCTTGAGGGCTTGAAGGCTTGAAGGCTTGAAGGCTTGAAGGCTTGAGGGCTTGAAGGCTTGAAGGCTTGAAGGCTTGAGGGCTTGAGGGCTTGAAGGCTTGAGGGCTTGAAGGCTTGAAGGCTTGAAGGCTTGAAGGCTTGAAGGCTTGAGGGCTTGAGGGCTTGAAGGCTTGAAGGCTTGAAGGCTTGAAGGCTTGAAGGCTTGAAGGCTTGAAGGCTTGAAGGCTTGAGGGCTTGAAGGCTTGAAGGCTTGAAGGCTTGAGGGCTTGAAGGCTTGAAGGCTTGAAGGCTTGAAGGCTTGAAGGCTTGAAGGCTTGAAGGCTTGAAGGCTTGAGGGCTTGAAGGCTTGAAGGATTGAAGGCTTGAAGGCTTGAAGGCTTGAAGGCTTGAGGGCTTGAGGGCATGAGGGATTGAGGGCTTGAAGGCTTGAAGGCTTGAGGGCTTGAGGGCTTGAGGGCTTCAAGGCTTGTGGGCTTCAAGGCTTGAAGGCTTGAGGGCTTGAAGGCTTGAAGGCTTGAGGGCTTGAGGGCTTGAGGGCTTGAGGGCTTGAGGGCTTGAGGGCTTGAGGGCTTGAAGGCTTGAGGGCTTGAAGGCTTGAAGGCTTGAAGGCTTGAAGGCTTGAAGGCTTGAAGGCTTGAGGGCTTGAGGGCTTGAAGGCTTGAGGGCTTGAAGGCTTGAAGGCTTGAAGGCTTGAAGGCTTGAAGGCTTGAGGGCTTGAGGGCTTGAAGGCTTGAAGGCTTGAAGGCTTGAAGGCTTGAAGGCTTGAAGGCTTGAAGGCTTGAAGGCTTGAAGGCTTGAGGGCTTGAAGGCTTGAAGGCTTGAAGGCTTGAAGGCTTGAAGGCTTGAAGGCTTGAAGGCTTGAAGGCTTGAAGGCTTGAAGGCTTGAGGGCTTGAAGGCTTGAAGGCTTGAAGGCTTGAGGGCTTGAAGGCTTGAAGGCTTGAAGGCTTGAAGGCTTGAAGGCTTGAAGGCTTGAAGGCTTGAGGGCTTGAAGGCTTGAAGGATTGAAGGCTTGAAGGCTTGAAGGCTTGAAGGCTTGAGGGCTTGAGGGCATGAGGGATTGAGGGCTTGAAGGCTTGAAGGCTTGAGGGCTTGAGGGCTTGAGGGCTTCAAGGCTTGTGGGCTTCAAGGCTTGAAGGCTTGAGGGCTTGAAGGCTTGAAGGCTTGAGGGCTTGAGGGCTTGAGGGCTTGAGGGCTTGAGGGCTTGAGGGCTTGAGGGCTTGAAGGCTTGAGGGCTTGAAGGCTTGAAGGCTTGAAGGCTTGAAGGCTTGAAGGCTTGAAGGCTTGAGGGCTTGAGGGCTTGAAGGCTTGAGGGCTTGAAGGCTTGAAGGCTTGAAGGCTTGAAGGCTTGAAGGCTTGAGGGCTTGAGGGCTTGAAGGCTTGAAGGCTTGAAGGCTTGAAGGCTTGAAGGCTTGAAGGCTTGAAGGCTTGAAGGCTTGAGGGCTTGAAGGCTTGAAGGCTTGAAGGCTTGAGGGCTTGAAGGCTTGAAGGCTTGAAGGCTTGAAGGCTTGAAGGCTTGAAGGCTTGAAGGCTTGAAGGCTTGAGGGCTTGAAGGCTTGAAGGATTGAAGGCTTGAAGGCTTGAAGGCTTGAGGGCTTGAGGGCATGAGGGATTGAGGGCTTGAAGGCTTGAAGGCTTGAAGGCTTGAGGGCTTGAGGGCTTGAAGGCTTGAGGGCTTGAAGGCTTGAAGGCTTGAAGGCTTGAAGGCTTGAAGGCTTGAAGGCTTGAGGGCTTGAAGGCTTGAAGGCTTGAAGGCTTGAAGGCTTGAAGGCTTGAAGGCTTGAAGGCTTGAAGGCTTGAAGGCTTGAAGGCTTGAAGGCTTGAAGGCTTGAAGGCTTGAAGGCTTGAAGGCTTGAAGGCTTGAAGGCTTGAAGGCTTGAAGGCTTGAAGGCTTGAAGGCTTGAAGGCTTGAGGGCTTGAGGGCTTGAAGGCTTGAGGGCTTGAAGGCTTGAAGGCTTGAAGGCTTGAAGGCTTGAGGGCTTGAAGGCTTGAAGGCTTGAAGGCTTGAGGGCTTGAGGGCTTGAAGGCTTGAGGGCTTGAAGGCTTGAAGGCTTGAAGGCTTGAAGGCTTGAGGGCTTGAGGGCTTGAAGGCTTGAAGGCTTGAAGGCTTGAAGGCTTGAAGGCTTGAAGGCTTGAAGGCTTGAAGGCTTGAGGGCTTGAAGGCTTGAAGGCTTGAAGGCTTGAGGGCTTGAAGGCTTGAAGGCTTGAAGGCTTGAAGGCTTGAAGGCTTGAAGGCTTGAAGGCTTGAAGGCTTGAGGGCTTGAAGGCTTGAAGGATTGAAGGCTTGAAGGCTTGAAGGCTTGAAGGCTTGAGGGCTTGAGGGCATGAGGGATTGAGGGCTTGAAGGCTTGAAGGCTTGAGGGCTTGAGGGCTTGAGGGCTTCAAGGCTTGTGGGCTTCAAGGCTTGAAGGCTTGAGGGCTTGAAGGCTTGAAGGCTTGAGGGCTTGAGGGCTTGAGGGCTTGAGGGCTTGAGGGCTTGAGGGCTTGAGGGCTTGAGGGCTTGAGGGCTTGAAGGCTTGAGGGCTTGAAGGCTTGAAGGCTTGAAGGCTTGAAGGCTTGAAGGCTTGAAGGCTTGAAGGCTTGAGGGCTTGAGGGCTTGAAGGCTTGAGGGCTTGAGGGCTTGAAGGCTTGAGGGCTTGAGGGCTTGAAGGCTTGAGGGCTTGAGGGCTTGAAGGCTTGAAGGCTTGAGGGCTTGAAGGCTTGAGGGCTTGAGGGCTTGAAGGCTTGAGGGCTTGAGGGCTTGAAGGCTTGAAGGCTTGAGGGCTTGAAGGCTTGAGGGCTTGAGGGCTTGAAGGCTTGAAGGCTTGAAGGCTTGAAGGCTTGAGGGCTTGAAGGCTTGAAGGCTTGAGGGATTGAGGGCTTGACGGCTTGAGGGCTTGAAGGCTTCAGGGCATGCGGTTCCATTCGTACGCTCCATCCGGCCCGTGGAAGGCGGTCTTCTCCTTGTCAGCCTCTGCGATAGGGATTTGGTTGAACCCTTGCCTCATGTCCAGCGTGGAGAACACTCGGGCCCCTGCCAGTTGATCGAAGAGCTCATCCACCATAGGCGTCGAGAATCTCTCCGGCACGGTGACCTTGTTCAGGTCCCGATAGTCACCACACATGCGCCGAGCCAGCACTGTCCCTGTCAGGTCCATCCTGGCCGCCACCACTGTTGCTGCTGCGTATTTAGATTCGGATCGGCGTATCAGCCCAGCTTCGAGAAGCTCCAGACACTTCTCCTTGCACACTTCCAAATCCTGGGGGCTCATGCGTCGCCTCCTCTGATATACTGGAACGGTTGTAGTCAAGTCCAGTGTCATGACCGCACAGTTGCAGCAGCCGAGCTCCTTCAGCGTGTAGGCGAATGTCTGCCGGTGTGATGCCAGCAGGCTCTCCACGGCCTGTCGCTGAGCCCCTTGTAGTCCTTCTCCTATGTCCCATGCATGCTGCTCCCCTCCTGATCCTCCTACTCCGGCCCCCATCTGCTCGCCTGTTCTTTCATTCGCCATCGCCTGCCTTCCAGCTTCGTTTGGATCCACTTCCAGTGCCATGTATGCCGGTCCTATGAGTGGCCAGTTGGGCGGAT